AGGTCGGTTCTTGTTCTGGTCTGTGCCGTTACGGTATGCGACAGTGTGTGTGTGTGTGTGTGTGTGTGTGTGTGTGTGTGTGTGTGTGTGTGTGTGAGATATATATATATATATATATATATATATATATATATAGAGAGAGAGAGAGAGAGAGAGAGAGAGAGAGAGAGTCGATGTACCGGTATAGCATGCCGAGCAGGTGGCACATGTGACCGAGGTCATACCCCCTGTGGAGCCGGGTGTCGTCCCTGTAGTTGCACACATAGAGTCGTTCGACAGACATGATGTGGCGCACGTGTCGGCCAAGGACGCACCAACTATCATGACATACATACCTCTGCCATGGGGGTTGGTTGAGAGCAGCATGCACAGGTCCCCGGGCCTAGAGGATATACAGATGGGACAGTCAGTGGAGGGGTTGCAGAGGTGCTGAGGATGGCACCGACCTCTAGGCAGGGCGCAGACGTAGTGGATGGTGAGGAGACTAGAGAGGGGGTTGCCAGGGTTAAGGAGGGAGTCGATACTCAGGATCTTGGAGGGGTTGTGGAGCGATTGGAGGGCGAGGAGCGTAGACAGAGAGAGGTGCCACACACATTGCATGCAGGTCATATGCATGGAGGACCTGCCGAGAGCAGTGGAGTGGTGGGTGTTGCTTTCGAGCGTGGACGGACATGGAGGCAGTACGATGTCACAGCCGGGCGCGGGGCAGAGTTTAGTGCTGCGCAGTGAGTGGAGGGGCCTGTTGTGCCATACCAAACACCATAGGCGAGGGATTTGAGGCGTCGTCTAGATGAGGACGTCCCGTCGCATGCCTGGGAGGGCCATATGCCCACCGCCGCTCCCACCCCTGGCACCGGCATGGCAGAGGATGCAGTCCAACTATGTGGAGCAGCCTCGCAGTACCCTTCTACTGTATGACTACCGAGGAGTTGGAGACCTATGGGCGGACTGATTACATGGAGATTGACACAAATGGTTTATTGCCGCAGGTGCAGTCTGTTTTGTGGGTGCCTGCTAGCCCGAGCTTACCCTCAGAAGCTTCAGTCCCAGTGCCTTCTCACGGGCCAGTAGTGCCAGTCCCCTGACAGGGTGGTTGCTGGCCCGAGCAGCGGTTTCACTCCCACGAGATGAACACATGGCCGGAGTGACACGACTGAGCAGAAACAGGACACCACGTTGCTCGGTCACACGGATCGGTCATAGAGAGACACAAGACGGGCAACGATGGCACGCACCAAACATCAGCCGGGTTTGGGACGCCAGTCACCGTCGGAGACGAGTAGAGACGTTGTCGCATCGGGGTTTGAGCAATCGGGCGGGTCGAGTGCTAGCGTGCACGGTGGACATGGGGGCAACAAGAGTGTGCTTGCCACTGCAGATCCTCCACTCACATGTGGTTTGAGGGAGGCGTCGATCATTTTTGAGGAGCCACAAGCGGGGAGACGACCCGATCTGTCACGGCCCGTGGCAGGGGATCGTCGACAGGAGGGTGAGACTTCAGGGGCAGATGGTCTGGCCATGCCACATGAGTCGCGGCGACACGATGACATTGCAGCTGCATCACAGCAAGTCGTGAGGGGAAAGGGCAGAGAGATTTTGCATGACGATGACACAGACCCCCGGCTGCAGAACGCGCCGAGGACCGGAGAGGACGCCGACTATGTGCATCAGGGCAGACACACGGATGAGCTTCGCGGCACAGGAGGGAGCAATCGAGGAGGCACGGGGACCGTTGATTATTTTGTTCATTATGTTTTCTTTTCTGTCTTCCGCCTTTTCAAGTGTTGGACTCTAGGGTGCCATTTACTCGGTGGTTGTTGCACGCTTTAGGTATGTACAATAGACAGAGAGGGATAGGAGGGTGCAGTCTTTGGCTGCCTTCGCAGTGTGAGTCACATTTTGTGCCATTTCCCTTTCCTTGCTGTTTTTTTTCATCATTGATGATGACATTTGTTTTTCTGGTCGGTTTCACTATCTTCGACAATCATGGTATTTTTGTCTTTTGTATAATGGATGCTGCACGTGCCTCTCTTACACGTGCTTGTTTGACATTTGTAATTCGTATTCAGGTCACTCGTTTGTTTTCTGTCTTTGCTGATTTCCTATATCAGACATGTCTCCACTTCTGATCGGATGAATGGATGGATGGATAGTGGATGTATACGTTGACGGACAGATGTTCTCTGGCAAATCTCACTTCTGAATGGATGACTGGATGAATGAGCCCTTTCTGACATATCCCAAAAAAATACGACCCCCCTCCCCTTCACCAAGCCTCCTCCCCAACCCTTACCTTACGCCCTTCTGACAACCGTACTCTCAAAGTCGGGGGAAGGGCCCCATTAAATATTAAATATACCCCCCTTCACCACCACCTGCCCCCCCCCCCCCCCCCCCCCCCCCCCCTCCGTTTTCCCGGGCTTTTTTTTTTTCCTTTTTTTTTTCCTTTTTTTTTTTTTTTTTTTTTTTTAAACGCACCCCCACCGGTGTTAGTGGTGCTGATGTGGGTGTCAAGTGTTTGTAATCCACTCTGATTTTGTGGCATTTGATGCACAGTCTGTGTAAGTGGGTTTTCGATGCTGAGACCTCCGCGGAGTTCATTCAAGAGATCTATCTGATGAAGGGCAGTAGCCGTAGCCAAATGGCCTCTATGGGTTGTCGCTTCACTGAACAACACCCTACATGCATTTGGACAGGTAATGGACCAGATGCACTCAGATGAATCCAACATGTTGAGTGTATCTGGTCCAGAAAGCGTGCAAATTCATGTATCTCGGACACACCAATGGAAAACAAGCTGCGGGCTGGGCGCACTTACATCCAGATCACGCCTCATCTGAGGTGGAAAGCTGGCCAAAACGACAACGGTTACGGTCCCAATTGACCCATGAGAGTATTTTAATTCCTTGTCAAGCCTGCGCTTTTCTGAACTACGCAGCCCTGTCCATCAACACAAACTGGCCGAAAGGCCCGAAACGACAACGGTCCCACTTGACCCATGAGAGTATTAAATTTGAATCCCTCGCCAACCCTGCGCTTTTCCGGATTACGCAGCCCTCTGGAGTCCATCACCTCAAGCTGGCCGAAACGACAACGGTCCCAATTGACCCATGAGAGTATGAAAATCCGCCGCCAAGCCTGCGCTTTTCCAAACTACGCAGCCCCCTGGAGTCCATCACCTCAGCCACTGCCAGCTCCCCTGGATAGAACACCCAATCACTAAAGCTGTATTTGGTGCAACTTTCAGTCTAGATACAGCAGTAATGACCAGGGTGAAAACAGTAGACTGGTTGGAACAACATGAGCCCTCTGTGTTGCCGCATGTTCATTAAATGCGCGTTTTGCGTTCAAGTTTTGAATGCATTGAACACGCGTTCAATGAATGGCCCTGAAGGGCCTGAACGCTTTTGACGCGTTCGCGGCAGGGTGTGTACAGGGTGTGGGGCAGCAGTCCTTGTCGGGGGCGGCGTTCAGGGGGCTGTGGGGGTGGGGGAGGGGCCCTCTGCCCCGGAAAAAAAAGTAAAACAAAACCAAAAAAAAAAGCAAGAAAGAATCAAAGAAAGAAAAGCAAAAATGGTCCTCAAGGCTTCAGGCACCGCCTGGGGCAGTCTGCATAAAGCGGACCGGGCGGTCTGAACGGCCCTTGCTTACGCGTTCGTCGTTTGATCAGCCCTTGCCTCCGTTTGGATGTGCATTTTGTGTGTGTGTGTGTGGCATACTGCGCAGCCACACGGGACTGCAGGGCCCGGCCAACGTTCTCAGCCTAAAAGCCTGAAAGCAAGGGCCTACAGGCCCTGTGTCGTTTCAGCCTAAAAAGAGCCCTTTAGGCCCTGAGTCGTTTCAGCCTGAAACGGAGGGCCATTTTCAGACCCTCATAAGATCGACCTGCCCTGAAACTTAGGCACCGGACCAGGGTTTTAGCACAGGCCATTTTGGGCCTGTTTTCAAGACAACCCTCGTTTGAACTTCAATGCCAGGGTCTGGCACGTTTTGGCATTGGCAAGAGCAGCCTCCTGGACGGGCCAGCACTATATAAGACTGGCCCGCCCTGCAGGCTGCAGGTAGTGACGAGGTAGTTCATAGGGACTTCCCAGGCACTTCATGTGCAGGAGGCAGGAGGTAGTCTTCAGGATTCGGCGGCAGCACTCTGGAGGAGCGCTGCAGGAGTAGTAGTAGCGTTAGCAGTAGTCTTCAGCGCTGGGCGCTAGTAGGAGCTGGAGTAGCGTTGGAGAGAGAGAGAGATGGTTGGCGGAGGCCAGGGAGACTTACTTGTGGCGCCATAGCTCCAACTTCGTCTTCGATGTACCTGTACCGGACTGAGAGAGAGAGAGAGAGAGAGAGAGAGAGAGAGAGAGAGAGAGAGAGAGAGAGAGAGAGAGAGTTATTCTTCTTCCTCTTCTAAGTCCACCATCTCTTCCTCACCCTCTCGCTACCTGACTTCTTAGTATCTGGAGACTACGAGAGAGAGAGATTGGTGACTTTGGGACTTGACGACATTTGGATCCAGACTCGACATTGGGATTCAGACATTTGACGAGGGATTATTTGGGACCTGTACCGAAGACTTGGTGTTGACGACATTCCCATCTTCCCCTCTTCTCCGTCTAACCCCCCTCTTCTTCGTCTGTGTATGGTTGGGGCCTGGCGCATTCTTCCTGTGTGAGCGCCAGGCCCCTTCACACCATGGAATGATGATGATGATGTATGTCTGGTCTGCATTGCAACATCGATTATTCGGATAATTGGTATTTAAGCCTTCCGCTGTGCTATCTTGTAGTATGTGAGAGAGGTCGGTTCTTGTTCTGGTCTGTGCCGTTACGGTATGCGACAGTGTNTTTTTTTTTTTTTTTTTTTTTTTTTTTTAGAAAATCACTACAGAAGCTTCAAAAACTCAGTTCCATCCAGCGGCCTAGCTCAGTTGGTAAGGCACACAAGTGGCATTCAGGAGGTCTTGGGTTCAATCCCCATTGGCCTCATGTACCTTGATGGGCAAGCTTGGCGCCCGCCACCTAGAGATATGCCGTTGGTCCCCCCGCGTGGCATTGAGCAGAGACTGCTGATGTTCAGTGGCATTGAGCAGAGACTGCTGATGTTCATAGGGGGAGGGGACCGGAGGGGAGGCACAGTGACTGGCCCATCTAAGAAGCTCGGTCCTGATGCTACCGGCTGACCCCTGGCCGGTATCGCCCACCTGCTGTAGCAGGTATCGCACCTGCTGGTGGGTGTGACTGGCCCATCGAAGAAGCTCGGTCCTGATGCTACCGGCTGACCCCTGGCCGGTATCGCCCACCTGCTGTAGCAGGTATCGCACCTGCTGGTGGGTGAAGCTCCCGCATGTTCCCTCGTTGGAGGCTTGAGCACGGATGTGGCTGTTGCACCCACCCGCATGTTCCCTCGTTGGAGGCTTGAGCACGGATGTGGCTGCTACGGGGTTCCCCGTAATACTATAATGACAATAAAAAAAGGCCTGAAAGGCCGTCCTGTCCAGATTTGACAGGTAGGTTGGGCTTAAAGAATTAGCCTTTTTTTTGTAAAAAAGGAAAAAAAAAAAAAACTCAGTTCCCTGTTGAGTGTTTTTTGACCCTGAAGCTGGACATACTGGACCTGCGGGGGCTCCTGGGGGCAAGTTCCACTCGCAGCATTGGGTTTCCTCAATACGCCCGAACCTGAGCGTGTCTGCAGAGATGTTCAGAAAATCGCATTGAAATTCGGCTACCGCACATCTCCCCAAACATATCCAGATTCAGGCGTCGTCCAGGAAACTCAAAGCTGCTAGTGGGACTTGGCCCCAGTTGGGCTGTGGAAAAAAATCCATCCAGGGAAATACCCTTCCCTGTTTAACAGGGGCTGCAGAAAGTTCCTCGTGGCTGCAAAAGACAGGGCAGGGCAGCTCCTTTTTTGGTTGCTGCTGGAAGGCTCCTGGCGGCTGCAAAAAACAGGGCAGGGCAGGACAAACAACAAGGATTTTTTGTAAAATACAAAAACGAGAGAAAAAAAGAAAAAAAGTGATAGAACAATACAGATACTATCTATATTCTTTTTTTTTTTTTTTTTTTTTTTTTTAAAAATTTTTTTTTTTTTAGCTTCAAAGGAGACTGTCTACAGCTGAAAATAGAAGTCTCAGCCATTGAAAAACTCCTTCCGGTTGTATGAAAAAAAAAAAAAAAAACAGCTCCTTCCGGTTCGCACAGGCCACAGAAAGGCTTGGTGTTCCTCTCCACGAAAGGGTGGCGCGGCCCCTGGCATCATGTGTTCCAGCCTTTTTTTTTTTTTTTTTTTTTTTTTTTAAACGCACCCCCACCGGTGTTAGTGGTGCTGATGTGGGTGTCAAGTGTTTGTAATCCACTCTGATTTTGTGGCATTTGATGCACAGTCTGTGTAAGTGGGTTTTCGATGCTGAGACCTCCGCGGAGTTCATTCAAGAGATCTATCTGATGAAGGGCAGTAGCCGTAGCCAAATGGCCTCTATGGGTTGTCGCTTCACTGAACAACACCCTACATGCATTTGGACAGGTAATGGACCAGATGCACTCAGATGAATCCAACATGTTGAGTGTATCTGGTCCAGAAAGCGTGCAAATTCATGTATCTCGGACACACCAATGGAAAACAAGCTGCGGGCTGGGCGCACTTACATCCAGATCACGCCTCATCTGAGGTGGAAAGCTGGCCAAAACGACAACGGTTACGGTCCCAATTGACCCATGAGAGTATTTTAATTCCTTGTCAAGCCTGCGCTTTTCTGAACTACGCAGCCCTGTCCATCAACACAAACTGGCCGAAAGGCCCGAAACGACAACGGTCCCACTTGACCCATGAGAGTATTAAATTTGAATCCCTCGCCAACCCTGCGCTTTTCCGGATTACGCAGCCCTCTGGAGTCCATCACCTCAAGCTGGCCGAAACGACAAC